GTGATATTTCCAATAACTTTTTGTGAATTACCATGAAAAAAAAAATTAAATGACATAATTAGTCATTTGTGGCTATCATAATTATACACTTATAAAGTTAAAAAAATAACCTTAAATGCCTTGTAACAATATTGTTGGTCCAATGAGCAAGAAGTAGAAGTCAGTAGGCCCAATATGGAAACCAAGAATTTAACAGAGGGACCAAGCATGTAGGGTCTGAATTTTATTCTTTTTTTTTTTTTTTTTTTTTTTTTTTTTTTTTTTTTTTTTTTTTTTTAGCTGAGCCATCCTGCTACCTGTTGGCAGCTCAGCGGCTGCTCAGCTCGGGCTGGACTCGAACTGCTGTTGCTCAGAGCTCAAACTCTTGAGCGAGCTCTTAACCAACTGAGCCACTCGGCCGGCCCTTGAATTTTATTCTTATTCTTGCCCTTCCGCTGCTTCTAAGAAAGACATTTATGTGGCTTTGGTGATGGCTGAATATAAAGTTATCCTTATGTGATGCCATTTAGAAAAATGTTCTTAAATTACATTTGCAATCTCAATAGTTTTACCATATTTAATTTAAACCTAACGTAAGTTAATTCTGATTCCAAAGAGAGAATACCACAGTAGCTAAAGACATGGCCTCTGGAACCAGGATCTCTGGGCTTGAAACTCATCTCTGGCTCTTGTTAGTTATGTGGACATAGAAATGTTTTTTATTCTTTTGTGCACTATTTTCATCATTCTAAGTAATTAGCATATCTCTTGTAGAGTTTGTATAAGGATTCAATACATAAACACATGTAAAGTTCTTAATAGGTCTGCTCAGATAATAGATGCTGGTATTGGTTTTCCTTGTTTATTGCTTTGCAGACCTACTGCATCCTTTACTGCCATGCTCTGTGATCTGGGAGGCTGACCTTCAAGGTCAGCATTACTTGGGCTCCCATGCCCTCTGCTTTGTGGTTGGGTTTGCAACTGGAGACAATAAAAGGTGATGAAAAGACAGGAGAAATGACATTGGGGTAACCCCTCTCCCCATTTTCTGACTGCCTGACTGTGGTTCTGGTAGTGTGACTCTTTATCCTTTTTCTATACCAAAGGTCACAGCTACTACTGAGTGGTTTCTCTCCCATGGCTCTAGCTATTGCCACGTCTGTTAATACTGCTTTCTCCCCATGCCCCATCAGATTGCTGGGCAATCAAGGCTTGCTCTGAATCTAAGACCTGGTGCTTCAACACCCACCCCTTTTTGATTTCTTTAACTTCATTTACATTCTTTGTTAATCCCTTTATTTAATTTTCTTCAATTAACCATTATAGTGTATCATATATTTGACCCTGAGATCATAAATAGTATAGTGATGGATTATTTAAGGTACATATTTGATTATTTCCTTCAAGTCAATGAAGTATCATTAACAGTGATAAGAATAGGGATTTCTGAACTTAGGTTAAAAAAAATCTATTTTATTAACCTGTATGTCACTGACAGCATTAATTTCCTAAGAAGGAAAGGGGATATACATGTGTGGAACTGGGACTAGATTGCAGATAGAATGGAATAAAGGCTGAGAGACCTTCCCTCATGGGTTTTACACATGGTCCCTCTCTCTTATTTCTCCCTTCTCAAGTGTTGGAGGTTAGTACTTGTTAGATACAAGTGGGTGGTATTTGGATGGCCCAAACAAGTCTAATATAGACCAAATCTGAGTTTTAGGGTTTAGAGGGCATCAAGATTTTGGAGTTGCTGGGTGGTTTGAGGCTACAGTGGTCTTCAGTGTTGGGTAGAAGAAATTTGCAAGACCATATAAATAAGTGCTAGGTCTAAAAAGCACTTGTAGGAAATAAATAAGGTCATGGCTAGTTTCCATTCAAATAGGAATTATAGAAAGAATCAGGAAGCTTGCAAAATTATTAAGAACAATGGTTGTATATTGTGGGAGTATGATAAGCATAATAACCTTTTACTCAACTGGGCACAAAAGTGATAAATCCATATTGCAACACAGACGTCTTAGGGGGAATGGACTGTTTCCATATCTCTACTCACTAACCATATTCGAGGTCTGAACAGGGGTCTGTGCAGGGCTGACCTTGCAGGAAACAGAGACCATTATATGAGGTGTGATCAACAAATACAGTGAATGTCTAAATTAAAAATAAATATTACAGTAAAAGACACATTGCCATTAATCCCTCTCAAAACACTCCCCCTCGCTTCAAGCACACTTATCCCAGTGTTCTTGCCACTTTCAGAAGCAGTTCTGGAAGTCCTCTTTCATCAGAGTGTTTAGTTGCATTGTTGTGGCTGCCTTGATGTCCTGAATCATTTTGACTTTGGGGAAGAGCAAGAAGTTGCACAGTGCCAGATCGGTGACTAAGGTGGATGAAGACACACCACAATGTTTTTATTTGACAGAAATTGCAACACCAGAAGTGATGTGTGATGCAGAGCCTTTTCACTGTGATCACAAAATATGGTGAATGTTGCTGCTGAGTGCTGTCCAATGAAAAGGCAGGGATCTTCAATACAGGAAGTGGCTCAGTGGAACCTTAAGAACAGTGTGCAACAAGTTTCAATTTGTTTTGTGCAGTTAGTTGGGTGTGAGCTACGGTTGAGAGAAGGTGTGTTTTAAAGTGTGCTGCAAATCATCCTCCATCATGACAATGCCCCATGTCATACATAGCTTCTGATATATGGCAATTCTGACAAATAAAAATATTACAGTGTGTCCGCATCCACCTTATTTACTGGATCTGGCACCGTGTGACTCTTGGCTCTTCCCCAAAGTCAAAATGATTCAGGACATCAAGGCAGCAATGACAGCGCAAGTACAGACACGCATGAAAGAGGACTTCCAGAACTGCTTCAGAAAGTGGCAAGAATGATGGGATAAGTGTGTTCAAAGTGAGGGGGAGTATTTTGAGGGGGGTTCATGACAATGTGTCTTTTACTGTAATAATTTTTTTTTAATTTAAACATTCATCATATTGTTTGATCACACCTGTGTAAGTCATAAAGGTGAGACTGGGGCATGCAGGAATTAACACTGTGTATAGCAATATCATTTTGTGTACAAAATAGCAATCACTTGTTCAGCCAGGAAAGGAATTTAAAATAATTGGCCTTATGACGCTTTCCCAATAGAGTTTAAACTCAGTTTCATTTTATTCAGGGTTAAGCATTTCCAACACTCAAGTCAAGTAAAATCCTATAACTACCTCAATTCTCACACTTATCACAGTAAGAGAAGAGAGAGTATAATAGAATGTCAAGAAGGAAGCGGTTAAGAGTTCTGAAGTCAGACTTCCTGGATTTGAATCTCAACGTTCTCTGCAACTTACTCTCTCCGTGATCGCCCACATTTTTATTCAGTCTCTGGATGTCTCAATTTCCTTTACCACATTCTTGGAATGAGGATACTATCCATTTATTAGAAATACTGTGAAGGCTGAATAAGGTTATATATGCAAATGAATTAGTAGAGTATCTGGCATACGGTAAATATTTAATACATCTTAGCTGTTTTGTTGTGTGTACCTCTACCCAATAAGACTCTATGCATACCTTCAGGTATGAATATACCTACAAGATGACTAATACATACACCTATATATATTAGTCATCTTATTATTTATATTATGAAGAGATGAAATTCTAGTACTTTTGTTAGGAAACTGCATTCAAGAGTTCTGCCTTGTATAAACTGCAAGTACCAATTAAGACAAAGTATTTCTAAAGACACTGATGAAATGTATACATGTTTTTTCTTGCATGTTACAAAGGAAATACTCAATTTGTATAACACAGGTGCTCAACAAGCTTTTTAAAATTGGTTGCCAAAAAGTGAAAATCATATTAAAGCAATAATTAGGTATAAATTATAGGCATCAAAAAGGGGAGGAGGGTAAACTACTCATTTGATTTCCTTTTATAGAGAATATCACAGATTTTTTTATACTACAAAATTTTGTTAAGTCTACTTAATTTGTATTAAACAATGTACAAAGGGCAGCTGTTGCTGTTATAAATGTTGTTAAACATCCAATTAGCATCAACATATAAAAAAGACTGCTTCTCATGTTTACTAATTCTGCAATTTGTTTATGTACTAGAAAGACTTTTTCAAATTTAAAAACAAGTAAGCTTTCCTGAAGGAAACTAAAGTTAAGAACTATGGTTTGAAACGTACTAGAAAGCAGCACAAAGGCAGGCCCACTGAAATCGCCTGGGAGAGTGTATGTCTTCATGCTTTATGGCTATTTAGACTGTACCCACTTGAGTATTTTACTGTTTAAGAATATTTCTGTTAATATCTTATTTCATATGTTTATTGTGAGAGACAATGATAATGTATAAATTCATAATGGTTACCATTTACTGATTTTCTAACAAGTTAATGGAATTGTAATAAACGTGTCACAAGTATAATCCATTTAATGTTCACAGAATCACTAAATGATAAGCACTATAAAGAGAATCATATTTATTTTATTTATCAGTGTCCTCGATAATCAGCACTGAGCTTGTATACAGTTTATACTCAATACATATTGATTAAACAATTGGATGGTCTTTCCTTTGAAATAGGTCCTTACTAGAAAAATATGCCTTAGTCGGCTAGTGTTTTAGTATTACTGCATGTGCAACTTTGACCACATCTACCCGTGTTTGGAATGGTTGTCACATGTATGCATGCTCCAAGGTTTCAGTGAGAGAATGTCTGAGGGATACCCTCCCTTTATCGTGTGTAGAAAACTGTAGAAGGAGGGAAATTGAGCACAAAATGTCTAAGAATGTTATTGACAAAAGCACTGTAATTAAAAGAAAACCCTGCAAAACCCTGATTCTGACCCACACACACTGAAGGCTGGAAAAATATAACCATTAAAAATATCTCAGAACAGCATCGGGATTTCTTAAAGCTATTTGAAGATGATGGTATGAGTTAATAAAACAAACAGATAAAGGCTAAAGTAACCTGTAGAAGCCACAAGGCTCAGATCTCACTTACCAGAACAGTCACCACACGGAGAACCACTCCACGCATGTTATTCTCCAGTTTCTTGTCAGTTAGTGACCCATTCAGCCCTGTGACAGGATTCCAGCACCCAAGCTGAAAGATAAAATAGCTTGGTCACTTTCCTGCCTGAAGAACAGTCCAATTACCTATGTCCAATCACACAGTTCCAAAAACTGTGATAAATCTCGGATAACTGATACAGAAAGGGTCCAGGGCAGGTTTTCCTTTTTAATAGCAAAAGAAGCAATCAAAAATGCCATTTCCTGCTTTTAAATATCATCCTATGGCATATGACAGTACCCGGCATGTTTTAAGACTTGCTGAGGACATTTGACTTAATGAGGAGTTATAAATACACCAAACGCGCAGTCCCAGTAATGCACTAATTGGAAAAATAATAGCTCATATAATTCTAGTTTAATGTCTGTTCTAATATATCAATGCTGCAAAAGTTGGATTTTTCTTACAGTTTCAATGGTTTTAATTAGATCTTATACTGCTTTTATTGGGGAAAAAAACTTCAAGTTTTTTAATGTGGTTAGAAGGATTACTGCTTTTATGAAGAAAAATCATGTATATGGCTTTGTTGTTGTCAAGTATTCACAGTATATAAAACAATAGAATTTTCCTTTTCTGTCAGCACTATCAATTTGCTTGGAAAATTTGGGCAGCAGCCTTTCCCTTAATGTCGTCCTGTGATTCACCGCTCTTTACTCTCCAAAATACTGGTTTAATTTTACATCCTCATGTAGTTCTTATCTCTTGTAATATCCAAATCTGAGGGCTCCCAGTTTTAAAATTACTGCCTATAAATCACAACAGGATAAAAATGGATGACTCTCAATTCAGAACTAAGAAGAAAAGAGAGATGCTGTGACTTGAATTAGGAGATAACTGCTTAAGAAGCAAAACTGTGAAGAGAATGTTGTAATGTATATCTTAGGAAGAAATGTCATGCCATTAATCCTGATAGCAGATTCGTGAGCCTTCACATTTGGGAACCTATTCCACGTTTGCATGCTTTTGAAATGTGACAAACTTTTAGTCCTATTCAGAGACTGTTTTGATTAACTGAATGTTTATAGGGGTATATGGTTATTTGTGCGGCTTCCTCCTGAAGGCTTTGATTTATTTCCTTGTAGTGCATTTTGTTTGTGGCTTCCAAAGTCGTCAACACACTGGCAAGTCTCCCTTACTAATGATTTAGGTGCTTCCTATGAAAACTCAAAGTTTCTCTTGGAGCTCTCCAAAAGGTGTTTAATTAAGAAAACGAAAATGTACATAATACATCTTAAGAGAAGGAGATATCACAATACAAACAAGAAGTCAGCTTTTTCCTTATTAGATAATTTGGAAAAGGCTGCTAATTGTTGGTTTCCACTATAAAAGCAAATTAAATTCATACAATGATATGTCATTCTTAGTTACATAAAAAGTCTAATTAAAACTTAGATCCAATGAGCAAACCCGAATGTGTTGAAAGTCTAATTATCAGAGATATTGTAGTCCTCCTGCCAAAGTTAAAACCTTATGAAATTTCTTTTGAGCTTTTGTTCTCTTTTGAGGTCAACCAAAGTCTATCATCATTACACTCCTTGATGAGCACTTTTTCTTAATTAGTTCTTTAAGATTTTATTTTCCAGGACTAAACAATAATGGTGGAAAAAGTGATCTATTATACAACATTAAATGAAGAATTAAATTTGCAATGTGCTATTCATATTTTACAATCATATTATTTACTTTTAAGCTGAATGAATAGCTTTTACTATATCCTCTTGTTCAGGATAAGTATGTCTAAACCGCCAAAGTAAAAACAGAAATTTTTTTTTCTCCCTCGGAGGATTTTTTTTCTTCTTTTTTTGATTTGGTGAACTTTCTGTCAATTTGCTTAAATAAATGACATCTATTAGTGCCAACTTGACCACAGTATTTAGGTGTATTGATTAGCCAAAATGTTCACTACTAGAATAAACAAAACTTGATGAGCAGTTTGTTTCCACAAAGCTCTGAACAAATATTTTAAAATAAATAATTTCCAGCTTCTTCTTAATTCTGTCTTCCTTTAAATATTACTGAATACTGTGAATGGTTTAAAAAGTCCCTCTAATAAAAGCATTCTAGTATTGTGGGGTTTGAAATAACAATAATGAAAAAGCACTTGGAGTAGGTATATCTTGTCTTCAGACCTAGGCAATGACATAAGCATTAATTGTACCATAAATGATGTTACTCCTCCTTTTTTTTCCTTCTTTTTATTCACATTGATCCTTCCACTGTCCATGTCATTAACTAACCCCACCTCTTCCTTTGGCCCTTTGGAGAATTACTTTTTTTCCATCCCTAGATAAACACTCCGAATGATTCATTTTTCATGTCTCTGACTTCCTGGTTTAGCAGCTGTCAATGTTTGGTCAAGTGACCCAAGCAAATCAAAATCCTCCCTTGAAGTTTTATTTTTAATATCATGTGTATGCATAGTGGGCAGGTCAATAAGTTGATATGACGTACTCATTTTTTTTTTAATGTTTGGCCAGATTCACTCATATATATTATAAGACATATAATTTTGTCCTCTGCTTATAGAAGGTTTTTCACGTTTCTATTTCCTCCCTCCCTCCCTTCCTTTCTTCTTTCCTTTCTCTTTTTCTATCAGATTCACATGTCTTTTGATCATGACACTTGTAAGGCTGTTCCTGTTCTTAATAACAGCTGTCTGGATTTTAGGATTGGCGACTCCTTTTACTAAACTCAGTTCTTCCTTCATATGCACAAACTCCAATACTTAATGTAAGCTGTGGACACCAAGAACTGAGATGTCCAGAGACTGAATTTTGAGGTAGATAAAGTTTAAGACACATATTCTCTGGAAAACTTAAAATAAAATACATCTACTCATCACATATCACATTGGGCATAACAAAAAAAATATTAAGAAAGTAAGATAATACTTATTTCCTGCATTGAATAGCACTGTTTCCTTTACATTTTTGGGGATACTGTCTATGTGTCAGCCATGATACTGAGCGTTTCATACATGATCTCATTTAAGCCTCAAAATAACTTTATGAGAAGGTGCTGTTATCATTATTACTTTATAAACATAGAAACTAAGCACTCAACTAAGGTCATGTATTAACTGAGAGAGAAAACTAGGATTTAAACTAGCACTTTTTAAAGCTGAGATGTAGTATTTAATTGCAGTCTATTTTATAGCTTACAAATTCTTTTTATCAAAATGATCTGTTTAAGGTAGGAAGAGAGGGCATTATTCCTATTTTTATAGTCAAGGAAATTGAGACTCAGAACTGTTAAGTGGCTGGCTCAATGTAATAGCCAGTGCATTTACATTTTGGCAATACAAGTTAAAAGGCAAAATCATCATAATTGTCATTTTTATAAAAAGTTATAACATATACACAGTTTGTGCTAAGCATCTGAGAGCTTTACTTATATTAATTCATTTATTTCTCAAAACCACCCTGTGAGGAAAGTATCATTATTGCCCCCATTTTACCGATGGGGAAACTGAGAATCGAGAGGTTCTGCTCCGTCCACCATGTTATCTTTTTTTTTTTTTAAGATTTTTATTGGGGAATTGGGGGGATGGGAACAGTGCTGAGGAATTGGGGGAAGGGGAACAGACAAGTTGCTGTCGTTTTTGTTCTTCAGTCTAGTTGTGGAGGATGTTTCTTCACCACCATGTTATCTTTTATCCACTTAAACTCTCAAGAGGCACTGAGTAAAATAAAAAAAGTAATAGAAAAATTAAGTGGATAAGACATTCTCAAAAATATTTCTGGAAAACTCTACTTTGTCTGACTAAAGATAAGTGTGGCACACATTTCATTGACCCTAAGGTCTACTAATGCTTCTCAAAATGTGTACCAAAAATGAAAGAGGAAGTAAACAACAGCAACACACAAAGGAAATGTTGATTAACCACTTTTTTGGGAAAGATTTCTCAAGTTTTATAATTCTTTAACTTCTGTTCATATCCATTCATCTGCCTGAGGTTCACTTCAAGCTATTCTGTTTTATTGTAATAACTCTTCCAACAATAAGCAATAAAAATGAGTTAGATTCACATAGATCCAAACTGAATTTGTATCTACAATGGGTCATATTCCTTGAAGCATAGCAAGATTGACAAGCATAATGTTTGATAAAAACTAGAAGAATTTCACTTAGGTTCAAGTATGAGGCTTATCTAACAACTTCCCTGGTTTCATTGTTTGAAATTTCATTAACCTGACTTCTTTGCTATGTGGAGAAGGTTGTTTATGTCTGGTTGTGTTTTTGTTTTTGTTTCTGTCTTTTATTGTATTTTTTAAAACAATGAAACCAGAGACTAATAAAGATAATGCAAGCAAAATCTCCCAGTACTATCTATTCAGTTGCGCACTTTCTAAGTGAGAAATAATAAAAGTAGCCCCTGCAACAATGAGATTTACAGAAAGTCATACTGCTGATGTCAAAACGAGATTCACTATCTTCCATGGCCTGAAAGTCTAGGGAAAATTTAGAAGGGATTAAAAAAAAATTCAATTTCCTTTCAATTTCAGTATATCGATTTCCTATAGTATTTTCTGGTTATTGCCTAAAGTCATCTTAAAAGCTTAAAAATGCTTAATGCTTTAATTATTTCCTTCATTGGAGCTTTAGCAATAATAATCTTGTAGCTTTCTGTTAAAATCAATGTAATATCTTGTGTTCAACAAACTGGTTGATGTATTTGCATGAGAATAGTAGCATGCTCCTAACATTACGTGTTATGCCATTAGTAAAACCAAGTTTTAGGTACGTATTTACTTTTCCCCTCAATGTTTTCATTTGTCCATGGGCTTTAAAGAATGACGTTTGACTTACATCATTATTTTTCAGGCAGTGCTACAATGTCAAAAAGAGCTGAACTGTTCAACTTTAATTTTACGCTCAATAGGTTGTAGGCTCTAATAACAGGAGTCAAGAGAGCTCTTAATTGGATACCAAATGGAATTCCCTACATGTATTAGCTTGTAGTCATATGGAACAAATGAAGCCTGGCTATAGTACCAAATCTCTAGCTGCAGGACACGAAGAACCCA